TGGAAAACAGAAAAGCAAAAGCTGATCAGAACTCGCACTGGTAGCAAGAAAAGCAGAAAACAAAAACTGTCGATTACCAACGCGAGTTCTGATTGGCTTCTGTTTCTCTGTTTTCCGTTTTCTGTCAAGCTGTGAATTTGTCCTTATTGTTCAACAAATGTTAAATAAGGAGAAAGTGATACTTGAGGAGTACTTGAGTGGGAATCTGAACGTACCCCTCGAACTATCGAAGTTCTCAAGAAAGCATCGAAGTATATTGGCTGCGTTCAGCAGAGAAAACAGATCAGCGCTTAGTGATTCTTTATTAAAATTGGTTTCCGCACTTAGATCTAGCGAAGATCTAAAGGTAAGAACCAATCATATTAAAGAATCACTGAGCGCTCATTGATCTGTTTTCTCTACTGTACAGTCAATGGCCTAGTTTACACCGAGCATTTGATACGCGTACTAACTAATAACTTTCTATTAAATTTTAATTTCGATGATGCATATAAACTTATACATGATATATGTATTTAATTAATCATATTAATGCATAATATATCAGCTTAGTACATCATTCTTTAAATTCATTGTAGAAATTAAGATAATTTAATAGAAAGTTTCTAGTTAGTAAGCGTATCAAGTGTTCGATGTAAACTAGGCCAATGATATACAGGAGTACTCCGGTGATGTTTCCGAACGCAACCATTGTTGGCGCTCTCGCGGTGCTAACTTCGAAAATAAATGAAAATCTATTATGTTGCTGTGCATTATACGTTATTCGTTGATCGTATTCGATAGCATAAAACGCAGCAGAGTGGAAGTTTTTGGTTATTTTATAGATACGTTTTACAACCAATATTGTTTACCTTATTAAACATGTTTGCAATAATAAAATATTCCGATCATATGTATGATGTATGTCGGACTATAAATATTACAAAAGTAGACAAAGATACTTGTATTGTCAAGTATCAAACAGGATCAAGATATCTTGCACATCTTTTGGGAACAAATGGTAATGAGAAGCTTAAAATTGATATTTATTTAATTTATTATTTAATTGTTTTTATTAAATAAATATTTATTTTTGTTTAACTGCATACATATATATATAGGTATATATTTATTGACAACAATTATTTTTAATTAACATTCTTGTACAATTTTAGATAATATTAAAATACTCGTAGATATCAAACAAAAATTAAATAATAAATTACCTAAATTACAACTTAAAAATACTTCAATTTTTGAACATACCAGAAACATACACTCGCAAGATTTTTTATTAGAAAATGTGAAATATGATAATATTGAATGTACTCAAAAAGAAAACATTTCAAGTTCTTCTAATGATAGTTTGACTTCAAGTCAAGTGGAAATATATTGTTCAAATCATTCATCAGAACAATCAAATAGAGTATGTATAAAACTAATCTAATTAAATTTGTTATTTATATATGAACTCTGTTATATCCAATAATAAAAATAATGTATTCATTATATTTTTAGGTGCAAAGCACAGATACGTCTGTGAATTTTACTTTTTCTATTGAAGAAATTCGTAGTGATTACATAAGTACTGATATAGATTATAATGATTCAATGCAAGAAATAATAAATAAAGATGTTAATTTTAATTCTGTTATTCTGGAAGAAACTGATATGATGTTATTGCCTTTTGATAATGAACACTCTAATGCTGCAAATCAAAGTAAATTAAGAATGGAATCTTTATCTTTTACAGGTACGTACTATATATAAATACTGCTTTAATATTTTTTCTTTTAATTTCTAATAAGAAGTTATAGTTACTAAGATTATTTTAATGTTTTACAGAAGATTTAAAAAATAATAAACTAGAAATAACGGAAATAAGTAATAGTGATAATATGACAGACTATGAACCACATGATAGCAGTTATTATACAGAAACTGCAGATAACAGTCACAATTCAGCTTTAACTTCTACAGACAATTACAATTCAAGTTCAACTTCTAATTTGAATAATTCTTTACTCAATGATACAACAATAAACACATCTCTTGATACTTCAATGAAACTTAATGTAGAAGGTTTTTCTGCTTGTGATGATGCTAATATGTTGGTTGAAATATCACGTGGACCTAAAGGTCAAGGGAAAACAAACTTTTGTTTTTTTTGTCATAAAATGCAAACAAAAATAGTTCGACACTTGGAAAGTGTACACAAAGACGAAGAAGAAGTAAAAAAATTTAGAATGTTGCCAAAGGGCAATAATGAGCGTAGAAAGTTTATAGATTTTTTAAGAAGAAAAGGAAATTTTTTGTATAATGTAGATCCACAGTTTAATAATGGAAACATAATAACATGTAGACGACCTCAAAAAAAAATGAAACGAAATGCATCAGATTTTGCAGCATGTGCCAAATGTAAAGGTTTCTTTGCTAAAAGTAGCCTTAGATATCATTTTAAAATTTGTAATGGAAAACAGGGACAAACTGTTAAGTCAACACTTGTTTTGGCACGTAAAGTAGTTGGTCGTATTCATAAGGAAGCTTGCCAACAGTTACGCGATTATATTCTACCTGTAATGAGAGAAGATAATATAGTACGTCTAATTAGATATGATTCCCTTATTATTAATTATGGCAACAAAATGTGTAAGAAATATACTTTACAACATCAGCATGAGATGATAAGAGCTCATCTTAGACTTCTTGGTCGTTTCTTATTTACTTTGAAGGGAATTAATTTAGAAATTACAGATTTTGCGTCACTTTATGAACCAAAATTTTATAATGCAGTAATCAAGGCAGTAAATATAGTTGCTGGTTTAAATGAAAGAACAAGTATATATAGAGCTCCTACTGTAGCTTCTAGTCTTGGTACATTGATAAAAAAATTGGGTAAAATTTTAGAAACTGAATGTATTAAGCAATTGGATAAAAACAAAAAAGAACGTGTTAGTGATTTTTTATCTTTGCTTGAAGTAGATTATGGAGGCAGTGTAAGTAAAGTTGCAATAGATAGTCGAATTGCAAAAAGACGCAATCAAAAAGTGATTCTTCCATCGAAAAATGATATTATTAAATTGAATAAATATGTTGCAAATTTACGCAAATCTTCATATCAAGAATTAGAAGAAAAATTTACATATCAATCCTGGTTAAATTTAGCAAAAGCAACTCTTATTTACATTCAGATATTTAATCGCCGTAGAGCAGGTGAAACCGAGCGATTATTAATAAGTGACCTCGATAAATCTGAAAAAATAGATGAAAGTGATGAACAGTATCGGGAGTTACGTCCAGAAGATAAAGAAACTGCTGAAAAATATAGACGCGTAATTATACGTGGAAAGCTTGCAAGATCTGTCCCGATATTATTAGATTTCGATATGCGTAGAAGCTTAAAAGCCATTCTAAAATTTCGAAGAAATGCATGTGTTTCTTTCGGAAATCCATATGTATTTGGAATTCCTGGATATTATAAGAGACGTTACAAATATCTTAGAGCTTGTACTTTACTGCGTGAATTTGCTCATAACTGTGGTGCTAAACAAGCACAAACATTACGTGGTACAAATTTACGGAAGCATATTGCAACAACATGTGCAAGCTTAAATTTACCAGAAAATAGAATAGATAGCTTCGCAAATTTTATGGGACATCATGAGAAAATTCATAGACAAATATATCGTCAACCTGTAGCAGCAATTGACATCTTAGATATGTCTAAAGTTTTAGAAAAAGGTCTTGGTATGCATGATAAAAAAAATATTTCGTTTGAAAATAGTGATATTGAACAACATGGTAAATATTTTACTTTATAAATTCAATTATCATAATTAAATATTATTTATTAATAATTACTTATCTAAATAAATATTTTACAGACTTTATGGAAAATAGTCCTGAATGGGAAACTATAGATAATAATAATGAGGATTATGATTATAAAAACGACAATGATGAAAATTATATTGGTGAAAATTATGATAAAAGTGATTATGATATTGATGATTATGAATATGAAGTACATGGTAAGCGTTTTTATAATAATAAGAATAGAAAAGAATTTATTATATAATCTAAATAAATAATATTCTAAATAATTTTTACGTAAAACTTTTACAGAATCTGGTAGCAAGAAAAAAAGAGCTTCTAATAAAAATCAAAGAGCTGTGACAGATAAAGTAAATCAACAGAGACAACATCCAGTTTTTAATTCAAAGAAAAAGAAACGTTCAAGTAAGTAATCACTCTCTTGTTTCTTAAACCATACATTTTGTACCCAAGTACACTTTATCCGAGGGATGCCCAGAGAAAGTTTTTTACGTCCTTAAAACGTCTTTAGGACGTACAGAACGTTCTCTGGACGCACAGTAACACAATGTAAAAATAAATACTAACTTGAGTAAAATATAGACATTAAAATTAGACATTAATATAAAGTAATATTATATTTACTTAAAAAAGCGTAATAAAATAAGAAATAAGTATAATATTGTAATCAAAATAATAAATTTTTAAATACTATAGTACGCTTTTTTAAGTAAATATAATATTACTTTATATTAATGTCTAATTTTAATGTCTATATTTAACTCATATGTTAGTATTTATATTCACATTGTGTTATATACAATTCTATATATAACACAATCAACTCAATAAAAAAATAACATAAAGAATAATAAAAATAATTTGCTTGTTAAATAATAGATAAACAAAATAAAGAAAAATAAAGGAAAAATAAAGAAGTCAT